CACACACACACACACACACACACACACACGTAATCGGAGTGTTCAATGCATTGACACTCATCATCAGAGGAAGTGTTGAAACATCCACTCACATACCGCATGCATGTATGTTATCTTCATTCAGTCCAAATACGAATGGCCTCTTCAAGTCAATGCTGTCATTGTTGAAGGCACAAAGGTGTCATTCAATGGATGGCATGCTTGTTTTCATGACATGGTGTTTAGCTCACGATGGATAAAAACGGGGTCGTTTGGCTCTATGATGACAGTATTTCGAAGCCTGTCAGCTAATAGCAAACAATCAAAACACCTCTTATCATTGCACTTGGGAAAGGTAAATGTCCAAATGTTAAAATGTGGTGCTTCTTCTGGATCACCAGGAGACAGTAAAGTCCATTCATACATCGAAGCTGCAGTATTAATCATTTTTCACAGAATTTTAACAATTCTGTCTGGGATTAGATGTTGTTAAAACATCAGTCGATTAAAGGTTTTAAACTACCATATTTGCCCGCATTATTTTCTAGCTTCTTGCATTTTCCATGCAGGAACGGTATTGACTTAGTCCGCCAAGTATCACAGAGCAAAGTGAGTTTTTCAGTTTCCCGCTGTGGATCCCAAGGGAGCCCCCGGCCCACTGACCTGCGAGGAGAGCGTGGTGAGGCTGTAGTGGCCCAAAGCTTTCTTCATGGCCGACACAGCCGTGCCCGCACAGCCGCTCCATCGCATGCTCTGTGGGGGCACTCGGGTCAGTACAGTGGGCTACAATTCGTACATTTCTATCCTTCTTTAATTCCGTATTCCCTCCTTCCTTAAATAATTTTAAATGTGTATACCTACTTTTGTAATCACACATGCACGCACGCACGCAGGGTCTGTGATGCTCACCGCTAAGCTGGTCTGCTGGCTCTTGCTGTGTGGGGTAAATTTGGGCTTGGGTGGTTTTCCTGCCATTCGATCCTTGTGCCGTCTGCTGTTCATGTGCTGAGAAAAAAAGAAAAAAAAAAAACGATCATCAGCATCTGTTCCCCTAACATCACCTTCTTCAATTTCTTCCAGATGGAAGCTCAATACTGTTTGACAATATTGTGCAACGGTATATTATATTTGCTATTTTAATGACTTTTTATTGGTAATATTTTCAATATACTCCTCTGTATGATACACATGCACAACTCAGTCACTGTGTTGACATGAATTGAAGAAGCGACAGTTCCAGCATGCTTGCATTAAATGAGAAGGCGCGAGTGCGACGGCAATGATGCTCACTCGTATCATATGCGCATCATTTTGTGCACAAAATGACAGTGCTGTAGCCGAAATGAAGGTACCGGCTGGTCTCATTTAGTCGAAATGCACACATCACACGTGTGTCCCGGCGTGTCACATGGCACTGCTACAAATTGCTTTACAAACAAATAGGACACACAGTTGTGTTGTCATTATTCTGCCTGAGGCATCATCATTGTCATGATGATGATGATGATGATGATGATGAAGGGTCCAGAGGTGAGCTAATTATAGACCACTGTTTGTACAGAAGCAGACACATTTGCCCGAGTCCTTTATTATTTCAGTGGTTCGGGTTTCAAATTAGGCTTTCGAACAAGATTTAGCATTTCAAAACAAGGTTCAACTCAGGGCTAGGGTTTCAAATTTGGGTTAAAACCTGGATTAGCATTTCAAAGCAAGAATGGGATTTCATCAGTAGGTTTTCAAGATTTAAATTAGAGGTTTCAAGCCTGTTTTCAGGTTCCAAACAAAGCCTAGGGTTTCAAAATAGAGTTTGGGTTTCAAACCTCTGTTGGGATTTAGCAGTGCTACAGGAACTCAATCTATTTTTTTAGCTTCCAGTATGTAGTCACGTGATGACAACTTTTCACATCCCGCGCTGAGAACACTTATGTTGGACACTCACATGTTAATCTTGCTTTGGCTAATGCGTTTGTGTCTCACCTGGGTGAGTTGCGTCTCGGAGTTGACAAAGATCTCGCACAGTTCGCATTGGAAGCTCTTGCTGGACACGCTCAGGCTGCCTTTGCTAGCCAGCCTCTTGCTCTTATAGCTGGCGCGAGCCGCCGCCATCCTGCCGCGCCGGCGGGGCAGCACGGTCTGACCCTCCAGCATCATCTTGTGCTTCGTACCTGACGGGCAAAACATGGACACAAACAGATTGCTTGAACGACAATAACGGTAGAGAAAATGTTACTATCATGAGTTCAAGTCCGTACCGCTGTTGTGGGCTTCCAGCTGTGAGCTGGAGTTCATCGTCACTTTGCAGACGGGACAGTGGAGATGCGCTTTGCTCTTCTTGGCATCCTCATCTGTCTGTGGCTCTCCATCAGCGCTGGATGTGTCTGCCCGGCCGCTCAAGCCGGCCTCCGCAGCGTCGGCAGCATCCGTTGCCTCTGGGCCACCAGAGTCGGAAGCCCCCTCAGAGAGCTGCGAGGATGGCGAGACCTGCACAGGGGAGAGCGCCGCCAGCTCACCGGCCGACACATCCGACACAGGCGTCAGCATGGCCGAGCTCCTGGGACTTTCCGCAATTTTGATGTCCAGGGATGATGGTTCCAGGTCCGAATGAAGACCTGCAGGAACATATCAAGAAATGGAGCATTAGCATTGACGACACACAAGACTTTGATAAGACCACGACTTGAATTTTGAGTATGACGAAAAAAACTAACAAAAAAAACACTCATCAAATTGTGCTATGATGACACACACACACACACAAAAATCACAATTTGGCATTTGGACGATTAGAAATTGTTAAAATTTGTGAAGAACGGTACACCTCTTGGACAAGAAAAATATGTCTTTGAAGGACGGCTGAGAATGGGCAACGGAACTCTAAAATGGCCATGTCAAACTAAAATGGAAGACTTTCTGTCTCGTTTTGGGCATGGCCCCCTGAGACTTTTTTTTTATAGCTCAACTCATAATTGATATGCCCACCAAAGTTCAGGTACGTCAGTGAAAGTGGCAGCGGGAGCACAGAGTTCAAGGGTCCGAACGTCTATATTCCAGCAGTCCACTCTGAGTGTCGGTATAGAACATATCAATTGCATCCCTGGCTGATATGTCACTGGAGTTCCATTACACATCTCTCCTTGATCCCCCCCGGGGCCTTGCACACTTCACCCAGCACGAAAGAGTCTGACTTCTACCGAATACCTTCATTTCATTTGTTGCACTTCCTCCTTTCCCGCCATTGATTTTTCCCTTCTCTAACCCTGAGTAAATTCATCACTGGAGATAAGCGGTGTAACCGCCACAGAAAATGAACCTACAGAGGAGCGAGATTACAACATAATGAGAGTGCACCCCCCCAGGGAGGATTCGAGCTTCTCTGTGGGATTGCAAGCCTCCTGAGTAGTAGTGATAGCGATCCATGGATCAAGCAAATGGGACTCTTAAGTTCTTAAGGAACTTAATTTCTCAGAGAAAGTTGTAAAGTTTTCCGGTATTGGATGAAGAAGAAAAGGCATTTCTAAATTGGAAACATTTTGAAACATATCTGGACTAAAGATAGAGATTTGACTGGATTTATTGGATTGACTGACGAACGATTATCGAGTTGTGTCAAACAGTCTTAAGTCGATTCCTGACCAAGATTTGGAACGGTTGAGACGAAGTGACTTGATGGCGCTCTGATTGGAAATCATTGCGCCCAAAAACTGATCTTAAGTGCTTCATAGGATGATGGTGTGGGCTGCCAACAAAATCTCCGAACAAAGTATTAGTGGCGTGATGTACTCTGACGCGGTGAGAAGGTAAAAGCACCTCTGTGGTTTGGCAGATGTCCTTTCAACTCAAATCTTAAGTCTCGTTAAGGATGCAGAGGACTGTTTTACTCGCCATTGTGGGAGTTACGTGATTGACAGTCTCCTGACTGATGAAACTTGGTATCAATGAACGGCGGCAGACATGCTCAGCCCCAAGTGAAAAATCCGTGGGAAGTGTTGATGCTGCTAAATAAACAGAATCTTTTATGAGTGCCAGCGTGTCCCAGGGCTTGGCAATGGGTCGCAGACACGGCGGCCAGATTGGCAAACTGTCAGCGCCAAGAGCGGACGATTGGCAAGCGCCGGCGGGGACTCGGAAGAATGTGACCGCTCGCCACTCGTTTATGGATCTTCGGATCAATGTTGCACAGGCTCCATTCCTTTTGTTCTCGAAACCGACACAACAATGAATCCACACTTGAACAGTTCAATTAAAAGAAACACAGTTTTATAGTTAAAACCCGGCGGATTGATCCGGCTGATGTCGAGCATCATTACGTACACGAGAGTTAGTGATCCGAGGAGTTGACGAGAGGCTTACGATGAAATCATCATTAGCGCGGACTTCCCGCCACGAGTCAATCGAAGATGACTGTGATTGATGCTTGTCATCATCGCCGTCTCCGGGGGGGGGAAACGCCTCCTTCACGCCCTCCTCCCGGCCGACGCTCACTCGCCTGCCAACACTTTGTCGTTTTTGATGTCTCCTCTTGAAAGGTGACATGAAGATTTGAATCACACGAGCGCATGTCAGTCTCCATCAATAGATTTGAGACTTTGATGACTGGTTCATTCGACCCGTGACAAGCAACATTAAATCCGGACCGAGAACCGAGTCGTAATATCCTCACCTAAAAATATATATTTTTCCCAAAGTATTTAGACTTAGAAAACATTTCGACATGTATTTTATTTTTTACAAGATAAATGTGTGTTTCACCAAAATAATTTTAATTTTGGCCAGAATCTCAGCAGTGCCTGTTTTTTTTTTTCTTTTCAAATTTGTGAGAATTCAACAGCTAATTTCCTTTGAAATTGCTGTGACAGACAAGCTGAAAAACAGCAACACCGGAGGAGGTTTTTGCCTGCCAACATTTAACAGGGAAGAGAAATTAAGTGATTCATGTGGACACAGCGTCCAAATGCGAAAAAAGCTCAGTCTGTCAGCAATTAGCAGGTAACGTCACTTGGATGATGAGGCGGCCGATGATGTCCGTGAATTGGAGCTGTTGAGAGGAGCAGGTGTGTTATTGGCTCCTGGTGTTCATCACAGGCTGGCAAAATGGCGATGGCTGCCTGGCAGTGGCTCGCGCGGCCGCACTTCAATTTCACGTCGGGCCAATCACGCAATTATCGTCTTCATAAGAGCATAACGAGCAGCTTATCGACTTCCTCTCTGGCGCTTTGCTACTCCATCATCTGCATCTTTTAATTCAGCCTTTATTTGTTTTTCCCAGTGCGCCCAAAATATTAACTTCAGTGTTATCTTGTTCACCTTGTCCTTCCTCAAGGAGACTTCTGTCTGCTCTTTTACCTTCATATCATTTCCTCTCTGATGTTCCCACTTGATCGGAGAGAACCAGCAGAGCAATTCATTCAGGCCCGATTAGATTTTGAGGGTAACATTTGTGAGATGAGTTTGAAATATGAATGTGTCTGCGCATAATTGATGGCCATTCAAATGCATTGTGGGGTATTTCTATTTTTTTTTGTTTGTTTTGCTAACCCCCAAAATAAAAATAAATGCTGATAAATATTTTCCATGAACAAAAATGTTTTAAAACTGACAATTTTGGGGGAAAAAAAATCTGTAAATATGTAAATCCATAAGTATGGAACAGTGAATATGTGGGGGAGGGTCAACTGTTCAAACTATTGATTAACGCAGTGCCGTATATATTAATATTCATCAACTGTAATCCAATTATTTACAGCCACCGACATATATTTTTGTCTAGCATGTTTTTTTTTTTTTTTTAGCAAGTAGGCATGGAAGAGGGTCTCGTCTTGCTTGTCTGTGACATTTTGTTTTGTAATCCACTGTAATGATAAACAGATCCCTGTAGATGGAGGTGTTGCCCGCTTTGGATTTTGGGATCAGCACAGCTTTTGAGTAGAAGCTAAAAATAAGGCAGTGATTGTTGCTGAGTGTAATGACATGTTGGAATTTCAACAAGTTTAAGGATCTCTCACTCGTATCAAGCATGTGTATGTGTGTACATACGTCTCCCTCACTCCAGACGCTTCTTACATACTTGTTCCCTCCTCTGAGCTGGGGTCCACGACATTGGACGGCGCCACAACCTCCGACATCTTAGTCCTGTCCCGCTTTCTATCCCGCTCCCTCCCGCCGGACGACGCCTCGCCAGCCCGCCGCTGCCTGTTCTTCTGTGCTTCGATGGCTTTCAGCTTGCGTGTGTGCTTGTGGCCTTTGTAGTGAGCCTCCGCCTGGTTCTGCAGCACAGCCAGAGAGAGGAAGAGAGAAAAACGGCTAGTCAGACAAGAGAATTTTAATCGATGTAATATCTTTGCGGAAAAAAAATAAAAAGAAAGAGGCCTGGACGTGTGGGCCAGAATGTGCATTGTGAGCGGCGGTCTGTTCCTGCCTGATAACGGCGGCGGGCACGCCGGGAGGCCAGAGGTATAATTGCATGTGAAATACGCAACAAGAGCACACATCTATCGCCTATCAATGTGCACAGTGAGAGGGCCGCCTCTCAATGCCAGACTCACGCACATTGTCATGCCACACACACACCCACACCCGCACACACGCACAAACACACAAACACAGAACAACACTTTGACTGCTCACAGCTTAATCGGAGAGCAAAGCAGAGTCCAATCAGAAGAAATCAATAAGAAATTACTATGTGGAAGCTGAAAAAAAAAAACTACCATGAGGACCAGTGCATTGTGGGAATAAACACACTACAGTATGAAGTAAACAAGGTCATATGGGATTTTTGACTTAAGTTTTAAAATGTGTTTTTTAAAATATATACATTCTTATTTAATTGTATTTTCTAAAATTACTGTTGCTTGGCATGCATCATTAAAATTATTTTATTTGTAACTTTTTTATTGAGGGCTAATTCTTTTCTTTTCAATTTTGTTTTTGTTTGAGCCCTGGGCTCATTACTCCCCCGTGTCTTGTCAGCATATCTGTGAAATCTCAACAAACCTCAGGCACTTGTGACAGGTGCGGTGGCCAAGTGGTAAGGCGTCGGTCTCGTAAACCGAAAATCATGGGTTCAATCCCCATCTGTACCTTTTTTTGGGGGGTGGGTGCTGATTGACATCAATAGTGTTGTGGAATTCAATTTTGTTTTTGTTTGAGCCTCATCATGACCTGCCAGACTGCAACAAATCTCATTTTTTAGTCACAGGCGCAGAAGCCAAGTCATACAGACATTGGTCTCATGACCTCCAAAATCAAGGTGTCTAGTCAAGATATTCGTTAAATCTCAACAAACCTCAGGTACTTTTGACAGGTGCAGTGGCCAAGTGGTAAGGCATTGGTCTCGTAAACCAAAGATCATGGGTTCAACCCCCATCTGTACCTTTGAACCACATGCAATTCAACTATGCTTCTTTGTCCGTTCAATTGCAAGACTTAAACAAGTTTTTTTTTTTTTGTTGTTTTTTTTGGGCGCAGGTGCAGCGGTTTCTCAGTATCATGTCGGTCAAGTAAACCGATGACCATCAGTTAAACCCCTACCTATCCCTTTGAATGACTGGGATCAATTTGCAAGCTGATCATGTCAGGAAAGACTTCAAAAAAATCTCATTCTAAGGTACACTAGCCTGGTGCAGTGGCCAAGTGGTAAGGCGTTGGTCTTGTAAACCAAAGATCATGGGTTCAACCCCCATCTGCACCTTTAAACATGTGGGATAATTTAGAGCTCAGTGGATTTGTGTCTGTTTGAGTCTCTAAGGCATTGATCTTGTTAAATCGAAAAAATATGACTTTTAACCCACTTGTGCTCTTTGAAAAATTTGCAAGCCAAAAGCTGATTTCTGTTTTCAAGCGACGTAATGGGAGACGTCAGTGTATTTTGATTGCTTAGAGCAGGAGCAGTTGAGACATTGTAAGGTGTCGCTCTCGTAAAGTGAAGCACATGGGTTTACACTTCAGCCTGACGTCGGGCATTACCTCAGAAAAATTCAAGTGCTGCAGACGGATGGGTGCAGTGACCTAGTGGCAAGGTTGTTTGAGCCTCTAAGGCATTGATCTTGTCGAATCAAAAAAAATATGACTTTTAACCCACTTGTGCGCTTTGAAAAATTTGCAAGCCAAAAGCTGATTTCTGTTTTCAAGCGACGTAATGGGAGACGTCAGTGTATTTTGATTGCTTAGAGCAGGAGCAGTTGAGACATAGTAAGGTGTCGCTCTCGTAAATTGAAGCACATGGGTTTACCCTTCAGCCTGATGTCGGGCATTACCTCAGAAAAATTCAAGTTCTGCAGACGGATGGGTGCAGTGACCTAGTGGCAAGGTGTTGGTCTTGTAAAGCAAAGATCACGAGTTCAACCCCCATCAGTGGCATTGACACAATTACAGTTGATCTGTGATGCTCCATTTTTCGACATGTTGGAAAAATTTAGAATTCAAACATCCATATTTTAAAGCCTCATCAAAATGACCAGAACCAATCTCAGTTGCTTCGGTGTCTTTTTGAGTGTTTTTGTGTGCGCCCAGAGGAAAATCTTGAGAGAGGCACAACGGCCGAGGCATCAGTTAATTAGCAAAAGATCATCAATTGGAGCCCCATATGGGCCTTTGAATCATTTGGAATTTCAACGGAAACATCAGCAGCAGCAGCAGCAAGAGCAGCAGTGCTTGTAGGATGTAATAACGCGTATGGTTTGCATGATGAAGAGGCCTATAAATAAAGTGGCTGTCATGGCCGAGCATGCTGTGACTAATGTGCTGTGAAAAGGCTTCAAACATTGCTGTGATGCGAGCAATTCTGCCGCCAGCTGAGTCTCCACGTAACCGGTGACACTCCCCCCCTCTGTAAACACTGCCTCTGATTGTCTCCAGCCAAAACACGAAACAGTGCTACCTTGGCTTGATTTCACCAGCCCCGTGCATTTTTATTTTGATGGCCACTCTTTGTTGCTAAAAATAACCGCAGCCTGATTATGTCCTCAAGCAAAAACAAACGCAATGCAAGTTGATGTATGTTAAAAAGCCTGAGAAGAGCATTACATTGTGCGGGAAAGATTAATGGCATAATCATAAGCTTATAAAGTCACTTCTTCGGAGCGTTGCATTGTGCGGGAAAGATTAAATGGCATAATCATAAGCTTATAAAGTCACTTCTTCAGCTTTGGACAACTGTCATATGATGCTCATGGTTCCTCAAGTGAGCAAAACATGTCATCCTAGCCGTTCCTGATGTACTGTAAGTATCCGTTTCTTTATATTTTCGTTTTGTGCTAGTTTTCCTTTCTGAGATGACCTAGAAGTACTTGGAGAAAAGGTTGCGTAAATTCTGAAAATGCGTCGGTAAGGAGCCTCGATGCAACCTTGAACTCACCTTTAGTATGCAGCAGGTTACTCTTGATTGTTCTTTAAGAAAGGAAAGGGGATACATAATTGCAGATTGTCGCGATAACAAGAAATGGCTTTCTACACCTGAAAGATAAATAGAGTGAGGCTCCGCAGTGTGGTGAGAGTAACTTGAATGAAGGCCCAATCAAAAGGAACGGCTCTCTGGTCTCACCACTTGGCCATTGCGCGAATACAACAAAATGTTCTCGCTGAAATTGCAATAAGGTAAATATTTACAACTGGAATAGATTTTCTCCGCTGTTTACGTACATCTATTTGCGGTGTGCATCTGTAAAGGCCCGGAACTGCTGTCCAACAGACTTTACACACCTCAACTACACGCAATCAGCATTAAACTACTAAAGTGTCTTCTTCAAGGGCCTGTGGGAGATTTGGGAGTTGAAACAGCAGAAAATGTTGCCCCTTCTTCCTCTTTCTGAAGATTTTATCACTGATGTCTGCCAGTTTGTTGATGTGCATATGCATGAGACGACCTGAGACATGTGACTCACTCCGTGTGTGTGCGTGTGGGTGTGTGTGTGTGTGCGTGTGTGTGTGTGAACGCTTCCTGCTGAGCCTGCTGATTGTTTCTGCTCGTGGCTGATAAACGGAGGCTCTGCCTGCTGTCTAATCCCTTGTGCCAAAACAACACAAAAACCAAGGTCTGATAAAACACACGTACAGAGTTTCTATATTTACAAGAAGCCACAGTGCCGGTTGCGGACGGCTCGGAGGCAGAAAAACAAACAAGTGTGGCTCCCTGAGGCAAGGGGGTTCAGCTATTGCGTGTTAAATGTTCATTTGTTCTCGCTGTCCCACTGCAAACGCAACTGAAATGAAATGTGTCCATACCGTGGAGTTAAAGCGCAGGTGGCAAATGTTGCAGGAGATGATTTGCTTCTTCTTGAGGGGCTGCGGGACGCCAAAAGTGTGATTGATCACCGCCTTTTGCACAGGGTCCATCTGAAAGAGAAGCCGATCGAATCAGGGTATATTTCCATATAATTCCATCCATCCATTTTCCGATCCCCTTTATCCTCACAAGGGTTGACTTTACTAGAGCATCATGCAACCGTTTCTCGCAGGAGAGATCTGTTGAAGTGTGAAATGATGATGGAATTTTTAAAATTTGAAATTCCAACGCACAAATTCAGGTTTTGCTTTTCCAGCGGCACTACCAGGATTTGTGCCTTTCTACTTGTCCACCGCACCGCACCGGGACTACTGTATTTTTTCATTACTGTCACCGCACGGTGAAAGTGACTTTCTTCTTCCACATTCCAAGGTTCAAAAGCTCGGGCAGCTTGTGGCTCCATATTTGTTTTAGGAATGTTCCCATTGTGTGTCCGCAGACATCCTGAGCCCACTCTGCTCTAAATGCCTCTTTTGTCTTCTCCATCCCACCCACCACAGACAGACCTTTGCGTCCTGCCCAGCCTGCTCTGTGATGAGGTTTCAGAAGGGAGGGATGATAGGGAGGGTGTTTGGCTATAGAGACAGGTGCATCTGTCTCTCCTCGCCTTCCCTCTTTCCCCTTTGCGAACCTCCAGGACAACATGTTCCTCATCACGGAAGAGAAAAGCAGCTGAATGGAGAATGTGATTGATGCCACAGCGGCAGGGACCACCACACCGCCATCAAGGAGATTCGTCATGGGACTGAGGTGACGCCCGCTTCGGTGCTATTTGCACAATTTGGCCATTTGGGTTTGATAAAGTCAAAGCGGTCCTTCGGCTCAGTGAACAGGCGCAATGTTTCCAGACAAGTGTTTCATTTTATTTGCACATTGAAAAAATAAAGGATACAATTTCAGTTCTAAGATCACCACAAATGACATTGCAGTTTTTGTAGCAGTTTCACAGTAACACAATTGCAAAAAAGACACCAGATACTAGCTCAGAAGGCGGAAAATTTGCAGTAGACTTCCATTCAAAATTTTTAACGCTAATGTTTCTTTAGGAAGCTGGAAATGAAATCAAGTTATTCAACTTTAGGTTCATTTGTCTCCAGGTACAGACAACGGTTGAATATGTGCTCCTCACTAGACCGACATCATCCCACTTGTCGACCTTGCCAGACAAGAATTTTTTTTTTCTACTTCTGGATCACTCTTCTTTGCATTTGAGACTATTTGGGTCCTCACACTGTCTCCTGAGACAAAACAGCCCTGCCTCTGACGCTGAACACAGAAGACCATCATGTTTTCCATGGCGACCAATTCTCCGTAACGTTACGTGGGCGACGCCGGAGAGCCCAAAGCACTGAAAGGGGTGGGCAGCGGTCAGCAAAACAACAGAGCTGGACACTTTTCACGCATGCATTTCTGTGGCTCATCCACACACACACACACACACACACAAGCACGCACGCACGCACACATTGCGTAGTCTGCCTTGCTTTTTGGGGCTGCGAGGGTGCAAAGAGGTTTGTTTCATTTAGCTGCAGATGGATGCTCAGAGAGTGAACACATACATATCCATAAACACAGGGCACACCTGGACACTATGCCAACTTTAAACTTGAATTATTCATAACCAGAGCACTCAGAGAGTGCAGACCTCCATCAAGGCTTTGTCACCTGTGAAATCATTCGGTCCGCGTGAACCATCGTGGAGCTTACTGGCTAAAATGACATCAACCCTCCACCCCTTTCGACTGGAAATAGTTTCATGTAAAAAGATATATATATTTGGGGGGGGATGAGTGTGTTCTTGTGTGAAGATTTATATGAAATAATAACTATAGCATTGGAAAGCCCTCACAAGGGCCTTTAATTTGACATGAGTCGATTATTTTTGTCGGCCACTGATTTTTGACCTGGTTTGGTGCTGGTACCGACTTGGACCTACTACTAGTCAAACAACAAAAAAACCATCATTGTTGGACTTAAATGTAAGGTGGAAATTTTTAGAAATTCATCCATCCGTCCATTTTCTGAACTACTTTTTTTCAAAGCAAAATAAATTCAGTTCATGCGCTACGACACAAAATAAATACAGCGTTGGACGACAGTTGACAGTGACTTTAAGTTGACGTACGAGACAATGTGAGTTTGTCGCCACGAAAAACAACAGGACCTACTCCTGTTGGAACAGAAATGAAATGGCAATCAAAGAGTTGCGTGACTTCACTCACCGTGTTGAAGTTTGGGAAGAGGCTGAGCGGCGAGGAGCCGTTGAGCCGGAAGGGCAGCAGGTGCTTGAGGTCCAGCTTGTCTCCTGAGACAAAACAGCCCTGCCTCTGACGCTGAACACAGAAGACCATCATGTTTTCCATGGCGACCAATTCTCCGTAACGTTACGTGGGCGACGCCGGAGAGCCCAAAGCACTGAAAGGGGTGGGCAGCGGTCAGCAAAACAACAGAGCTGGACACTTTTCACGCATGCATTTCTGTGGCTCATCCACACACACACACACACACACACAAGCACGCACGCACGCACACATTGCGTAGTCTGCCTTGCTTTTTGGGGCTGCGAGGGTGCAAAGAGGTTTGTTTCATTTAGCTGCAGATGGATGCTCAGAGAGTGAACACATACATATCCATAAACACAGGGCACACCTGGACACTATGCCAACTTTAAACTTGAATTATTCATAACCAGAGCACTCAGAGAGTGCAGACCTCCATCAAGGCTTTGTCACCTGTGAAATCATTCGGTCCGCGTGAACCATCGTGGAGCTTACTGGCTAAAATGACATTAACCCTCCACCCCTTTCGACTGGAAATAGTTTCATGTAAAAAGATATATATTTTGGGGGGGATGAGTGTGTTCTTGTGTGAAGATTTATATGAAATAATAACTATAGCATTGGAAAGCCCTCACAAGGGCCTTTAATTTGACATGAGTCGATTATTTTTGTCGGCCACTGATTTTTGACCTGGACCTTGGACGTACTACTAGTCAAACAACAAAAAAAAACATCATCATTGCTGGACTTAAATGTAAGGTGGAAATTTTTAGAAATTCATCCATCCGTCCATTTTCTGAACTACTTTTTTTCAAAGCAAAATAAAGTCAGTTCATGCGCTTTGACACAAAATAAATACAGCGTTGGACGACACTTGACAGTGACTTTAAGTTGACGTACGAGACAATGTGAGTTTGTCGCCACGAAAAACAACAGGACCTACTCCTGTTGGAACAGAAATGAAATGGCAATCAAAGAGTTGCGTGACTTCACTCACCGTGTTGAAGTTTGGGAAGAGGCTGAGCGGCGAGGAGCCGTTGAGCCGGAAGGGCAGCAGGTGCTTGAGGTCCAGCTGCGGCTGCACGGGCCGGCCGCGCACCGCGGGAAGCGCGGAGGTACGGGCTGAAGGGGAGATATCGGATTTCAAATGGAGCTGGGATGAAGAGATTTGTAATTTTCCGCTTGGTCGCGTTTCAATGCGCCGGTGCGCCGTAGCGGCGCGCAGGCATTTACACGAGCGGCAGGATCAATCATCGGAGTCAGCCCCGGGTCAAAGGAAAAGGAGGTTTGCATCGCTCAGTGATAACTTACAGCACAGACAAAAAAAAAGCAATCAGTGACCTCACAATAAGAGGCGAAGGCGGGTCAAAGTGCACCATTACAGGTACGAGGGAAAAATCTGATAAAAGAATTCAACATTTTTATTGCATATTTACGCACATTGAAGTCTCTGTGTTGTGCTTTATTGCGTACTTTTTACGAGCGGCTGCTGACGGGTGCGTCTTGAACCCCCCCTGGAGACCAATAACGTTTCTTGAATGGAATTTAAGGTGAACGTGTTCGCAGCCACAATAACTCAATGAGATGGCGGCAGGACACAAATGCACTTTTTTTTCCCTACTTCTTCTGATAAATGGAGGACACACTGAGGGGGAAAAAAAAGAGCCCTGGAAGAAATGTTTAGTGAACTATGGAAACCAAACACCCAACACAAGTCAATAAATTCAAAAACTTTCATGCCGTTTCTTTTTTATATTATCAGAATTTTCAGTGTCACTTTAATATTTTAGCTGTTTCCACCGGGGGTTTTTGTGGCCTGGCAGACATGATGGAAATCCCTACCGGTGCTTGTCTGACACCTGCAGACAATCTACAAAAGTGTCTCCCAAGATCAGAGCAAAAAGATTTTATGTTCCTGTCATAAATGCAAGGAAACACCTGTTTGTTTTATTCCTGCAGCAAGACAACTCGGAACAGAGAGCAGAAAAATAATCTCGGGCAATGAACCACATTCTGCTTCAAAACCCCCAACCAAACTCTGAGTTTGGAGACGACCGCTGATCAACTGAGCCATGCCGCTTTGAATATGGTACCTCGTGGAGAATCCACTTGACGGTTTTTATAGAGTGCTGCACCCAGCAGCTCTCATGAACTTGGAGGGAAGGCAGTTATCAGCCGATAAAGCTCAGCGACTCCCCAGGCAGCTTATTAAATCAGCACCTGACGCGCGCGCATTTGTGTGTCTCGAGAAGGGGATGACACACGGCAAACATTTGCCCAACGGAGAGTTTCCGCCCATTTCTGTGTGTGCGTGCCGGCTTATTGCAGCCTGCAGCCATGGACAACCTCCTTCTTTCATGACGCGACATCGTCTGTTCATTCCACGCCATGTTTGTGTTTGTCCAAAATCTACCCGAAGTCCAGGCCGCAAAGCAAAATGTCCGACTTATTCTTCTTCTTGGTCATGGCCATGCCAAGCGCTGGTGAGTCACTGTTTGGTTACACAACAGCCAGCGTCATGCCGCATCTGTTGGATGTGTGTGTGTGTGTGTGGGGGGGGGGGGGCTGTCTGTGATTCATTGTCATACATGTGCGTGGGACAGAATCATGTATTCCAATGGGCGATGGACACAACTATTACCAGTTGACATCATGAGAAAATTACAACACCTTGAGAAAATGACCTCATGAGAAATTGACGCCATGAGAACATGAGAACATAAGATTATGAGAGAATGACGAACAGAAGGAGGAAGTTTTAGCCAGGCCGGAACATAATGAACACAATTACACGGCACCATGAAAAAGCTCCAAGAGAAGGAGGAACAATGATGGCCGCTAAAGTGCACGCTTGACAGCATCAGTGCTTTTGTCCAGTCCAAATACATAAGTCCAAAATATAAAAAATAAAACAGCCTTTCAGCTTCTTTTAGCCATTTACGTTAACAAAGTGAGATCTGCTCTTTCGGCAAATGACAAACTGTCTGAGTTATGAAAAGGACGTGAGCATTTCATTTGACTGCGAGGGAGCCACAAAGTGACTGTTAACGGCAAACAACGGCGCACGCCGAGACGTCGGGTCACCCTGGGAGCCATTTTAGATGGACGACATTAGCCCCGCCGTCACTTTTAATTAACGACAGATGCTTTCCGCCCCCCCATTCTCCGCTCACATAGTAACTGGCGGACCTCAAGGTTGGATGTGAGCGAGGTGATAACGAGGCAGGAAGCTCACGCTGATAACTGGCACGATGAGAGCTACATGTGCAGGTGTGTGTGTGTGTGTGAGTGTGTGAGTGTGTGATCATCACGCACGCACAATTACAGTCTGCTTTAGCTTTTAAATGTGTTTGTATTCAAAGTAGGTGCTGTGCTGGGGGAGCTGGGACCGTGTCACTGGATACCAGACTGAATCTCAGCAATGATTGTAATCATCTTGAGAGTCGACTGGAAAGGGCCCAAGTTCTTCCCCTCCTATCTTCTCATACGTATGATTTCTTGATGTCATGTTCTCACGATGTCATGTTCTCATGAGATCATGTTTTCATGATGTCATGCTCTTATGGCGTTATGTTCTCTTCGTCTCATGACCTCATGTGCTCATAATGTCAAGTCCTCATGATGTCACGGTTCTCACACTTCTCATAATATCTGTACGAGGTCACGATTGCATGAGTGCGGTTCTCCATCACGGTGCATGGTAACGCTGACTTGTACGAGGTCACGATTGCATGAGTGTGCGTGCGGTTCTCCATCACGGTGCATGGTAACGCTGACTTTGTTGCGCCTGTGGTCGGCGCGGTAACAGAATCTCCTTCCACAGCGCGGAGTCGATATAAATAATGAGTTTTGTCAGGCGAGCAGCGATTCGCCACTGAAGCCAACCTGAGCGCAAGCGCTCGGCCCATCTGTCAAGCTGAGACAATAAGCTCCGAGCCATCCGCAAACAAATTGCTCCACTTCCCCCGCCGTGAAGCCCCGCCAGGCGACTTGGCTGCGGGCGGTAAACTCCTGATGTTACACGGGGATACAAACCAGATGGGACATTCCAACACAACAACGGGCAGCTAGTGATTGTGAAAGTGAAGGAACTTCCGAATTTTGCCTTCGCGCTGGAGGCCTGCTGTCCACAACAAAACGGATACTTCTAATTTACTCCGAAATAAAAAGAGTCTCAGTCCACAGGAAGGAAACATTCACAGGCTGTCAAGGGCAAGACGTAGCAACACTGGAAAAAACAAAATGCCATATTAACCAATCAGAAGAGAGAAGAATGACATTTCTGGAAAAGGCACTCCAATTTGGATTAAGCAATTCAATTAAAGAAAAAAACATTAAAAATGTAATATTCAAATGGATCTTTTTTAAATGACTAATGTTAAAAAATAGGAAAAACAACATTTGATAGGATAATAAATGATACTCTATGAAATGCCATAATTCCACCAGAACTGAAGACATTTTCCCACCTGTGCCGCAATCTCAAGCGCTGTCACACAAACACACGTCATCATGATCCAAACATCACACGCATGGGGATAATGGAGCAAACCGGCATGACAGACTTCATCGAGAAACGTTAATAATTGGGTGAGATGAGGGAAATTGTGACAACCGTTTCCGAAGTGACTGTTTAAATCAAGCTCAGTATCATCTTCATTAGCATAAATGGCAACACCAAACCATCTTCATCTCAGCTCATGTTGTACTACACAAAATATTTCATCAGTAAGATTGACCGGAGCCCTACTGAGGCTCATTTTCTCTGCAAATTGAGTAAATTGAGATGTTGTAGCCTGTACAAATCAGCCGACCGGGTATTGACTTTGGTCTAACTTGAAGTAATCAGTTGGTTGTCAAACTAAATGTACTCTGATTTCACCAAACCATTCTTAGTCACAGGATAGGGAATGATATGCTACTTGTAACTATACCTCGCTGATCCCAAGACAAAGACATTGACACTGCATGCTTGACGTGTGGTTAGTCGTATTTTCGGCGTCATTACGGAAATGCTCATAATGAGGACGGGTAGGGGGCAGCATATGCTGCTTGCCGCTACGCCTCGCTGAATCTAGACATTTAAAAATGACAGCGTTCACGTTGCATGCTTGACGTGGATCGTTGCACTTTGACGTCATGAAAATATGATTCTAGCGTCCTATGCTTGCCGCTAAGTCTCACTGAACCGAGGAAGATGACGATGAGAAGACATGATGTAGGTAGTCAGACTTTGGTGGACGGGGGTATTTATATCTGACCGGGTTAGGGCAGGTCAAACATCTTTAGCAAAGACAGTGTATGGTATGCTGCTTGCCGCTATGCCTCCCAGAATTGAGCAACAAACACCACGCTACACGTTCAACATGTGAGTTGTCGTCATGGAAATACAGTCAGCTTTGTTTGTCAAGACGGTGCATGATATGCTATCTAGCTATGCCTTTATGTTTGCATTTGATCAGCATCGCCCCGGTAGCTTGTCATGCTTATTTTTTTTTGTAGTTACTTCACATTTTGCAGCGATACAACCGGGCGTTTTATCTTTTGGTGTATTTAAATGAAACAGTCAAGCGTGCTCAAGGCTAAATTAAACCACTTATGTGGATAAAAAGAGGAAAAACAACAAATGCATGTAGCAGGGATTAGCCAGAAGGGTTTTTTTTCCCCCACATTCCACAGCATGGAGAAATGCACTTACATGAGAATTAAACGCGTGGCAATAAAAGCCCTGCAGCTGTCATAAACTTGTAACGGTGTAATGCATAAATTAGCCTTCTTTCTGAGGGGACTAACACCAGGGGAAACAATACATTGGAATGAGAAACCAAATGGGGAAAAAAGACTCTAAAATAATGAGAAAAATTTGGGTTTGATGCTGAAAAACAATTAGCCCTTTGCTGCACTCCCCCCCCTACATTTCCATCACTTGCGGCCTCGGGTGTAGCGACGAGCTAATTCCTTCCGACCTATGCCATAATTGCCTCAAATCAGCCTCCTCGCCGTGGTTATACTAAGTTAGAGTCCACATTAATCTGCAGAACATCTGTGGGACTTTGCGTCCGCCTGCTGAGGTCACACCTCGTGGCTTCTATTTTGTTTCATATTCGCGAGCGGCACTCGCTGCACAATTTGGGGAGTGTGGGGATGTAAATTGCTTGAAACGCTTGCATTTCAAATCACCTTTTCCCATTAAAAGCATTGGAAAGGCTATTAATCAGTTCCACCCCCTCCAAAAAAACCCAAAAATAGTCATCATATGTGTTTTGATGAGGAAATACAGTACTCCATATTATATTTTATAAAAGCATATAGCAATGACACAATTACATACCGTACAATTAAAAATAATGTTTTTTTTTTTTTTTTTGGTCAAACTGCATCAGTTGAATGGCCATGGTGGTGCTCTTTCTGTGATGCTCATTTTAGTCACCGGGGGGCAGTATTAGTATGGCACAAATTTTAGTTGTGCAGAGGATAAAGAATATATGACTATGAGAACTTTTTTGTTTCTACGGTTGATGCCCTTTTAATTAAATACAGGGGGAAATTCCCTAGTTTATGCTTATTTTGACATATTTAACTTGGGGTGTTATAAAACAGTTTGTAGCGTGTTTTTGTGGAGGTGGAAGGTAGCAAGTGGACTTCCTAGCCTCCATCTGTAGCTTTTACACAGCACGGCAACGGGGAAAAAGGCTGTGTTTGACAGAAACTGTGAAAGGGGCTCTTGTCGTCACACTCTTGCGGGCACTCAACACAGAGGTCGCTTACCTGTCTCCCGCTGTAAACAGAAAATGAATAATTCACATGGCAGCAGCATCCTGAGGATCTTCATCGCCAGCTAATGAGAAGTCAGCCACCGAGAGAGAGTCTCAAGGTCCTTGAGCTTTGAAGTAACGGGCAGCAGCAACGCGGGAAGACTGCAAGGGGTTTATTTTTCCCTGCTGCTTTGATGTTACTATCAACACATAACTTCCTGGATTTCCAAAAATCACCAATTGCGTGCTCGCTGAGATCAGGGAACTCTGGCAGTCCCCAACCATGCATGGGTAAGTTATACCAGACTTTTCGGGTCACCCGTATATTCAGGCACTAATGCAGAGTTCAAAACTGCCCCTAAATGGTCGCATTTCCTGCCTAAAATTTCAGACAGAAAGAGTACATTTTTCATCTACTCACGCATATGCACCGATAAATCTACCTTTTTTTAAGGTGGCAGAAACTGGATATTATGATGATGCAAGAAAAATGCAACTGGCACGCACCGGCATGGCAAACGACTGCTTGAATTCAAAGCAACAGAGTCGGTTTTAGCCTCATGTTGTTAGCTTCGGCTAACTCATAGAACGACTAATATTAGTGCCGTACTGATGAAATCAGAGAGATAAAAAGAGGTCAAATGATGAGACAGAAGAACAAATTCCAAGAAAAAGACAGCTGCATTACAGAGACAATATAAGCAATTTTACTGAACAAAAAAATAAAATACAGGTGATTCTGGGCACCATCTGCGTACCTTTTGCATTTGGACTATGTGGGCCAACGATTTAGGAGCAATGCTTCGACAGCACCCACACGCTTACTCGCCTCGCTACATCTGCAGCGGCACATGCGAAGCTGCAGGTGAAGAAGCGGGAAGTTGCCAGTTGGGTCTGCGGGGTAGCTGAAGTGATTGCTTTTCCCAGCTTCTTATCGCCGCACCAGAAGGTGTGCTTCTCACAATTATTACACTCAAGCCACACACACACATACACACACACACGGTTACACTTCTATATGCCTTCATCCCCTGGCCACTCATTTCCAGCTCTCTGCTGGCCTGGTGAAATCCCGCCGGCTCATTCAGATCCTGTTATGCCTCAGCTCCATCAAACACCTGCGCGATATCTGAGGGACTGGAGGGCGAATAGCGCCGGACGATCACCTTGGTTGTTTTTCCCAACAGCGTTATCGTTCCAGCGTCCTGTTAGAGCGATTTCAAAGGGGAACGCACGATGTCCGCAACGGCTACAGTGGCATGTGCTACGTAAATAGTGACATCATAAGGTGCCAATGCAGTATAAGGTATAAGCGCCCACTTCTTATCAGCCGTTCCATCCTGCACTTCCTTTCCTACGATTTCTATCGTTGGATGTAATGGCAAGGAAGTGGACATTCAGAAACTCAGGTTAAGAGGTACCAGTTCGGAAGTAGAGACCAGGAAGTAGAAAGACATATCCTTTCTCACCTCCATTTTGTAACCAGATCTTCCTAAACTCCCCTTTCAGATCTCCGTGTCCTATCCTCCATTTCCTAACCTTAGCAGGATGAGTCGTCAAGAAAACGGATGGATGGATGGAAGTCAAGATTCAGAAGTAAAGGATCAGAGGTAGAGATAAGGAAGTGGGCCATAAAAAGTAGAGGATAAGCAAGGGAGGGAAGAAAGCGGATGTTTGACAAGTACAGATTAGAAAGTTAAATCTTAGGAAGAAAACAACTCGCGTCTATCTACTCCTCAACAGGTTTTCGCAAACATTATTCCGCTGAGATGCTCCGGGCGACGAGCGAGGAATAAAACTAACATCTCCTCCCCGCCGTCAGCCGAGCCCGCTGACAGACGACAAAGCGAGCTGTCGCCTCTGGCTGAAGAGTGGAACTTCTTCTTGCGTCTCGGGGACGCCGGCGACAAATGGTGCGCCTCTTTGGCGTGCCCCCACCGCCTCAAAACTCCCCCGGAGACCTTGGCAGATCCCAAAGACGGATTAATCCTGATGCGAAG